ATGCGAGTTCAGTTCCCAGCTCTGGCTCCAGCTTCCTGCTTATGCAGAACACCCTGGGAAGCAACAATGATGGCTCAAGTAGGTGAATTCCTGCAACCTATATGGGAGACCTGAGTTGAGTTCCCGGCTCCCAGTCCCAGCTATTGTGGGCATCTGGGGACTGAAACAGCAAATGGGATTGCTCTCTATTCAATATCTGTTTCTCTTTCACACTGCCTCTCAAAGAAAAAAAAAAAAAAAAAAGTATAGTGACTTATAGCCACTGTTAATGAGTTTATAATATGAAGGGTCTTCAAAAAGTTCAGGGGAACATGTATTATGAAGAAACTATGCATGGATTTAAAAAAAAAAAAAAAAGTTTGCACCAGAAGAAAGAAGTTGTCTTTTTTTCCTACTTTTCCACAAACTTTCTGAAGTCCTTTCACATGTGCGTTATGTGCATAATCTCAATTGCTCAAGGTTATGCATTTTACAGATGTGGAAATGGGTTCAGGGAGCCTTATTGGCTGAAGTTATATAGCATGCCAGGGAACATAGAATTTGATATTTGATTGCAAATCTGTCTCTAACTGTAGCCTACTGTCTTTATTCTTGCTTCTTCTATGACCTTAAATAATCTTGAGCATGTGTTCTCTTATGTGGTATCTGTACACTTGCTTGAATTTAAGCTTCTGTGTTAGTCATTTTGTGTGTCTTGTAACAGAAAGCTCAAAAAATTACTTAAACAAATCATGTACAAAGAATTCCATAGGAGGGCAGTTTTAGGTTGGCATGATGACTCCACCATGTCACCAGTGTTTCCTTCCAGCTGTCTAGGATACAGCCCTCATTTGTATTCTGACACAGTGGCCATGGGAGCCCCAGTTAGACTCCTGTGTTCCAAACGTGAAGGAGTCAGAAATAGGAAGGCAGAGGCAAAACAGGGTCAAGCCAGCTAAGTGTGTTCCTTCTTAAAGGTCTTTCCTGGCCGGCGCCGCGGCTCACTAGGCTAATCCTCCGCCTTGCAGTGCCGGCACACCGGGTTCTAGTCCCGGTCGGGGCGCCGGATTCTGTCCCGGTTGCCCCTCTTCCAGGCCAGCCCTCTGCTGTGGCCAGGGAGTGCAGTGGAGGATGGCCCAGGTGCTTGGGCCCTGCACCCCATGGGAGACCAGGAAAAGCACCTGGCTCCTGGCTCCTGCCGTTGGATCAGCGCGGTGCTCCGGCCACAGCGCACCGGCCGCGGCGGCCATTGGAGGGTGAACCAACGGCAAAGGAAGACCTTTCTCTCTGTCTCTCTCTCTCACTGTCCACTGTGCCTGTCAAAAAAAAAAAAAAAATCTTTCCTGAAAACTACCCCGTAATTTCTACCTATCAGTCCTTGACTGGGTTTCAGTATGTGACTTCTCTTAATTAAAAGAGAGGTTCTGAGTTGCCCCCCCCCCCCTTTTTTTAAAGCAGGGACCATTGTTTTCATGAGCAAAATCAAGATTCTATTATCATGGAACCCAACTTTCTTGTTTCTTGAAATGAACCAAATAAATTCATTCAGTGTGAACCCTCTGCAATGCCTGACTACATAGGCGAACTTGGTGTGTTGCAGAGGTTGAAACTGTCTGGAGGGAGATAAGAGTTGGTTCACCAGAAGCTAGGAACCAAAGGGACTCTTTCTTGGATATCCTAGAGTTGTCCAGTGGATAGCTTGGCCCAGATTTAGGGAAAGGAAAAATAAAGTTCAGAATAGGACTGTAATCTTGGTGATTTGAATCCGGTTCCACTTGAACCATTAGTGCTGGGAGTAAGTCTGGGACAGACGAGTCCCAGACTCTTAGTATACCCTACACATTAAGAGTTAAAGTTGTGCTCTTCCTAAGATTTTACTTCATAAATGTCTCCTATGAGTGGAGAAGCTATCATTTTAGATCTGTGTGGTGAATGTGCGGTGGAGGCAGTGTTAAATGAAACACAGAATGAGGAAACAGAGCGCAACAGAACAATGGGCTTAGGGCCAAGTCCACTCGAGTGCGTCCTAACACTACCACTTGCAAGCCAAGACACCTCTGACAAGTCATCTAAGTTTCTCAGTCTCTTGTTTCTCGTCTTTTTAAATAAGGAGTTAAGATCTTCACATGTGTGCTGTAATAATGCAGAAATCCTGACATCCCACTCCTGGCCGTTGACTGGTGGCAGTGGCATTGCTGGCTTTGGTGCTTCTATTACATGGCCAGGTGGCTCATCAGTAGGTGCTGGCTGTGAGCCCTCTTGGACTGCTGGTCATGATCTGCATTTCTGTTGAGGAAGAATTTGGTAGATAAAGGAGAGTGGGTGGAGAAATTAATTTGCAAAGCAGCAACTGCAAGAAAATGCCCTGGGCTCTTGATGTCAGTGACAGCAGGAAGCTTGCTGGGTCAGCTAAACTGTGGGCTTCAAATGCTCACTTGAGGCCACCTTAAAAAGCTTATGACGGAAGGCTTCATTTCTCCAAGTTTCACCTTCCTCATATGCAAAATGAAGGTACCCAGAATGCCTACCTCCCAGCGTTGCTGCAGTGATAATGCCTAGAGCCCTTGGTGCATAAGAGATCCAACAAAGGCTGCTTATTAGGAATGATGTCATTTCCTACCCTCTGCACCCAAGCAACAGTGGGACTTACAGGTCTCAGTTTTGTCTGACTATCTCAGCTCCAGCAATCCCATAAAAGCTTTAACTAGGGCATAAAGTACACGTAGAATCATACCAGGTCCCAAAATGATCCTGTGATAATGTGATTAATAATGAGGTCTTGGATGGCAATAGCATTCTGAGGTGCTTCTGCAGAGTTGTAAATTTCATTGGCTTCAGTGCTTATGAAAGTGAGACTGACAGCTTATTGCCCAAAGCAGCAAACAGCACAACTTGCCTGTATTTATGTTCCAACTTCCTTAAATAGCTTTGCCTCTCAGGTCAAAACTTCACTTTGGCTGCCTCTTTGCCAGAAATTCAGGCTGGGTTGGGGTGACTTCTGTGTTCTTGCTTCTAATTGCTGGGATGTGAACAGACTTGACTAAGAATTAGGGGGAAATCAAAGAACAGCCATGTTCCTGGAAACAGTGTGCTGCTACAACATGCACTATCGTTGCCATCCCCTCTTGCCATATTTGTGTTAACTTTTATCCTTTCCAAAGTGCTTTCCTGTGAATTGCACATCTGATCCTCTCTGAAGCCTCAGGAGAAGGCAGAGGAAACTTCATTTCCATTCTTTTAGTTAAGAAAATCTAGGCTCAGGAATATGAACTGACTTGACTCTGGTTGGCGTGAGCAGGGCTTGAATGCAAATCTTTTCCTAGACCCTTTCTTTTCTTACATGACTGTGCTTTGCTGCTAGACTATCCCAATACATTCTCTGGAAGAAAATGGCATTCCCGAATCTTCCAATTGGTTTGCCTTCTTCAGAAGGGCCAAGTGTACAAGCACACACCACTTTGTTATTTTCAGCTGTTCAGAAGTCTGGAATTCACAGTATTTGCACAGGTTGAAGACAGAAGAGGTTTGTGTATGTTTCCTTGCAACTTTGCCAGAGCAGAACATATTCCCTTTAGGTTTGCTCAATGAGGGCCTGCACCAGACAGTTCTCTCTAAGTGGAGTCAATGCTCATCCACATGGCAGGCTCTTTCCAGGGCTCTCTCCAAGACCAGAAAATCTCTCCTGTCCCCCCCCACCCCTCTCCTGGACTTCTGAGGCCTGAAATTCTGAACCCTGATGGCTAATGAAAGAGATCCCAATTAAAACTGAAATAATTTTCACTGTATACGTTTATATGCTTTTTTGAGATTTACCTATTTGAAAGGCAGAGTGACAGTGGGAGGGGAGGGGAGGCAAAAGTGCTCCAGTGAGCATACTTCCTTCTTCCGGTTTATTCCTCAAATAGCCACAATAGCCAGATCTGGGCAACACTGAAGCCAGGAGCCAGGAACTCCATCCTGGTCTCCCACATGAAAACCAAGCACTTGGGTCAGTTTCCACTGCCTTCCCAGGTGCATCAATGGGAAAATGGGTTGGAAATGAGCGAACTGGACTCTAACTGGCACTCCTATATGGGATGCAGGTGTTGAAAGCAGTGGCTTAATTTGCTGTACCACAATATCAGCTGTGAGTTTTAGGAGGTCACAAAAACTAGTTTCTTGACTCCACAATGTCCTCATCCATAAGGCATAAGTAGTAAGAGACATTTTGAAGGTCAAATGAAACGTCATGTATGTAGAAGGGCTTCAAAAATCTAACCTTGACAGATGGGATGGGGGGACAAGCAGAGGTGCTGGTCCTGGCACTGCTCAGAGGAGAAGAGGGGTGTCTGGACATAGAGCCCAGAGCGTTGTGTCTGACCAGAGAAAGATTGCAATGGGAAGACTCAATGTTAATCTTGTCTGATTTCATGGTTTGGCCCAGGACTGGACCAGTGGCCAATTGGGTTGCTTTGACCTCCAGCCATCTGTGCCTGGGAACATAAAACAAATGGTCAATGGGATCAGATGGCTAATGATCACAAATGTCCCCTGCTTACTGCTGTAAGAAAGAAAAGAGCACCCTGGAGAAATAACCATGATGCTATTCTGAATGGTGCAATTAACTGTATATTCAGGAAAGCCTATACTCTTTCAGCTATTCTGTTAAGGGAAGATTGCAAGTGACGGAGGAGCTGTGCCTGACAAGGCAGTTTGAAAAAGCTCTGTAAGGTCAGGAAGGCAGATTTGGGCTTCTATTCAGTGACTACAGAACAAAGCCAAGTAGGCTCTTGTCTTGGGATGGTTTGGGAGCTTTTTTTTCTGCCAAAATGTGTGCCCAAGGGTAGGTCTGAGCATCTGATCTTAAGCTTCTAAGTTGTATTGGGCCATCCTTTGGTTGCTTTTTCAAAATTCCTTTTCTCCATCATTGCTTAAGCTAAAAATGCTTCCCATTGTCTCTCCTTGGAGACCCACATGTGGTAGTGTCCCCCTATTTTCCTGTTGTAAAACTTGCTGTCGTATTTGCCTTCTCTTTCCTCCAGCTAGTGAGACGTGCAACGACTTCCACCCGATGTTCTTCACCCACGACAGATCCTTTGAGGAGTTTTTCTGCATCTGTATCCAGCTTCTGAACAAGACCTGGAAGGAAATGAGGGCTACCTCGGAAGACTTCAATAAGGTAGAGTCTTGTAGGTGTGAGATGGGGCCAGGAGCTTCCTGGGTCATGAAAGATGCATTATCCACAGGCCTCTGCTATGTGTAGGAGGTGGCTCACAAGGTGGGGGAATGAGGAAGACTATAATTTTAGGTTGCTTTGAGAGTAGAGAGAGAAGTACCTGTGTAGACTTGAAACTATAGTGCTGGGGATGCTCTCCCCTCTCTAGGGATAACCTTGGAACAGCTCTGTTCATTTTGTGTAAGCCAGAAACATCAGCAGAGACCTTTTATGGGGGGAAATGTCAAGATGAACTTTTTTTCTTTCATAACATTAATTTGGGACTTCTCAGTAATGCAAGATCTGTTGGGAAAGTTGATCTCTCCACCTGTGCAGAAGTCTGGCATGGAGCAAATGAGATCAGGAGGACTGCTCTATCTCAGTGATTTCTTTACAGATTATGGATGTGTTGAGAGAATTTGCCCTGTGTTGTGTCAAAATGATTTTTACTAAAATGAAACATGTCCTCAGGGAACTGGGCAAGTTATATGTAAAGTAAGCATTTGATTCTTTGAACTGAAGTGCTCCTTGGTTTTCTATATTGTACTTTCTTGTAAGCAGGGACTTTATTTCCATTCGTGTGTGAATGTTGAGAGAGAAGTGTATTGCCTGACTCTAAGAAAGTAGAAACGCTGTCCATACTTTTAGAGATGAATAAAATCTTTATCCCTCAATAAGGGTCTAATTAACAATAATGCCATGGCTAATAACCACTGGCCTTATGGTTGGTACAGGTGTATTTTGGCCTTTAATTATATTATTGTGCTATACAATGTATGGCCCATCACCAGTGTCCATTCATCTGGTGCCAAGGGATGATGTCAACTGTAAGAGTCTAAGAGTTTAGGCTCAAAGTCATGCAGGGGGTCTTTGTGAACTCTTGCATCATGCATCACATAATAATTGAATTCCAGCTACGCTTAATGTTCATATCAGTCTCTGTCTTCCTGTTGTCTTCTCTCTGAATTCACATCTCTCCTTTCTTTTCCGGTATTTCTGGTTTATGCCATCTTGAACCAATACCAGTCAAAAAGAAAGAAAACCAAGGGAAGAACCCAGGCTTCAAATAGATTTAATCCTGACTATCTGCCCCAGCATGGTGATCTCACCTGCTGTTGGGACAGACAAGTCATTCAATGCGGTGACTTTTCCCTTTGCATCTTGGGTCATCTATGGAATACATAGAAATCGGCTCCCGCAGGGCTCCTCCCTGGACAGCACTGATCTGGACGCCACTACAACTGAGCAGCTGTCCCTGAGGCAAGGCTTGATTCAAGGAGGAGAGTGGAAGAGAGCAGCCCATGCATCCCCTTGTGTTTCTAACTGCGACCTCCTGAGTGCACTTCACTTGATTATGAGAGACGTTGTAATTCAGGTGTAAATCATCCTTGAGGGAGAGGGAAGGAGGAGCAGTGAGGCCTCTGTAGAATAAAGTCAAAAGAAAGAGACGAGCTAAATCAGTAGTCTTCCCGTACTGCAGTGGGAACGCAACGCTGTCCTCAGCTCTGTGTGCCTGCACACCTGCTCTGCAGGAGAAGGGGACCTACCTCACTGACGACCATGTGTTTGGGCTTGGGTCAAGAGCAGATATCATTCATGGTTCAGGAAAGGGAAGAACCAAGACTTTTAATTTTCTCCACTAAATATTTTTGCTATGTTTGCCTTTTCTTCTGATTGCTTTTGTGGCCAGAAGAGTGTATCTGATTGACACACTTATCACATGTGTAATCATTTCCTATTGCTGCTCTGACAAACTACCACAAACTCGGCAGCTTAGAGCATACAAATGTATTATAATACAGTTCCAGAGTTCGAGAGCCAAAATAGGTTTCAGTAGGCTAAGGTCAAGGAGTAGGAAAAGCTGTGTTTCTTTCTGGAAGCCCACGGAGCAAGTCAGTTTCCTAGCTGTTTCCAGTCTTTATAGGCTTCCTGCATTCTTTGGCTCATACCGTATTTGTCCACTTTCAAAGGCAGCAACTGCAGGACCAGTCCTTCCCACTTTTCTAATCCCTATTCCCCCTTGATCTTCAACTCTTTTACTTTCGACAACCTGGAGAGTCCTTTATAATCTCCCTATCTTGACGGCAGCTGATAGCAACCTTAAATCCAGCTACAACCTCAATTCTCTTTTGCTGGATAACATAACATATTCCCTGGTTCTGGGGATTGGAACATGGGCATCCTTGAGGGAACCATTATTTTGCTCATCACAGAGTATATTTGATTTGTAACTGCATTAGATTTTTAGGGGTGTCTATCCATTTAAATGAATGAAACATGGACAGATAAGCCTTTTGTTTGTTGCTTCTTTGTGCTGGTAGATGTAAACCCAGTCACAGAGTTCTGCTAGTGGCTGCTCAATTACAGATGAAGTTATGTCCCTGTTCTTTTATGTCCCTGTTCTGCCTCCACCAACCTTTCCCAAGGCGGCACCTCTGTGAGAGCCTCTGGCTCAGTGGAAAGACTGACTTTCTGATTTTTTTCCTGCCTCCCATCTATCAGCCACTGCTCTGCTTTACCTGATAATACGTTGGAGAAGAGAGAAGAGCTGAAATTGCAATCAGTTCACTTTTCTTCTTGTTATTAACTTGGTAGCTGAGGAGATTGAATTTAAGAACAAATGTAGGTTTGGAATTACTGGTAGGTTTCATGTTTTTTCTTGTTCCCTAAGACTGTCCAAAATTTGAATGCAGAAATATTTTAAAAGAGCTTAACGTGCAGCATAGTTTCTTTTGAATTTCTTGGACACTGTCGCAGGCTTTCACCACTTTGAACGGAACGTGGAAGGCAGAAGCATTGTTCAACCCGAAACCCTGGGCTCGACAGAAAGGGCTCAGCTATCTGCCGCCTTTGTCTCCTCACTGGGGAAACAGTGCCCTTCAATTCAAAATTTTGATTTGTGTGACAAACTATGCTGAATTGTATCAGAGGCAGAAATATCTTCTGCAGTCTCTCTTGCTTGGGACACCAGTTTAGAGCTATCTACTGCTTGGTAGTTAATGCCAGTGCTGGAGAGAATGTTTGGAAAAGCAGCTGTCCTCTGCTTTTCTGGGCTTGGGAAGCAGCAGATGGGATGTTTTTTTATTTATATAAGAGAAGTAGAATTGGAGAGTGATTAAAATATTTATGCTTTTGAAAAGTACTTTCTTTCAGTTTCTCAATATAGCAGTCTGCAAAATAATCCATTGATTCAGGCCATTGAGTTTGCATTCTATGTTTTTGCCTTTTATTACCAATATTTTAGAGCATGCATTATTCATTTTTATGGGTATTAGAGAAGTGCTAAACTGCAGCTGGTTACCTCGGCACACAAGTGGCCCCATAATCATTTCTTTGAAGCCCTCATTTTTGAGCAGGGTAGGAAAAAGGATGCAAGTGATTTGAATATTTCAGGTATGGGAATCTCACTTAAAGTGTTTGTGGCTGACTGCTTCACTTTAAACATTCTAACAAGAATGTACTCATCAAAATATATATTTGTTTGTAGCAGTGTTTCATAATTTTGGCTGTACATTAGAATCACCTGAATGGGTTTTGAAAACCTTGTTATTCCAGTGCACAGTTGAACCTCAGGCCAATCAAATCATGGGGGGAGAGGGGCACTTTAAGGTAGGTTGATCACTGAAGGTGTTTTGTGTGACGAGGACTGTCATCAGTTGACACATGTGACAGATCACCAACCAGGGCAAATTGCATGCATTGAATGAGTAGCGAGTATGCTGGTGGCTTCTAAGACCCAAGTGCTAATCCTCACACTGCCCCTCAAGAGCTCTGTGCCTGCAAATTTTAAAGTGAAAAAATAAATGAATCCTAGTATCTCATTGCCCTCTCTTAGAACGGCGTGATATTAAGTTGAAGTAATAAGTGTGAAGATGCTTGAAGAGGTAAATGTCGAATGCAGCTATAAAGTGTTCTTTTTGGATTTAATAAGATAAATCCTGCCTGTGAAAGATGAGTAAATTGCCCTTTTCAAAAGAAGACATTTTTTGGGCCATTATGTTAAAAAGGAAAAAGAAAAGTGAAGCTCTGAACCCCGCGTTAAATTCTGAACTGAATTAATAACCCATTTAACGTTGGCAAACAAATGGACTTTCAGCTGAAAATTTCATGGATTTTGGCAGGGTCTTCTTTCAAACAAGTGTATTGGGTAATTTAGTTTCCCATGTGACATGTTATAGGATCAGCCTGAACATCAGCAGGTCCCACCATGCTCATGTCCTTAGTGGCTGGAGAGAATTAAGGCCTCCCCAACAATTACTTAGTTGTCCAAACCTCTACAAGGATGACTGAGCCTTTTTTTTGTATTTATTCATAGTGTTGGCACTATTTAGATGCTCTCAAAATCAGTGTCATAAGCCACACTTTCAAGTTACCAAAATGGAAGAAACTAATGATTGGAACAATGTGGTCACTCTAGTAAAAGCACTGTTTTGAAACATCCAGCATTGTATTAAGCTAAGCACACACAGTAGAAGTTAAAACCTCAGGCTCTCAGACGAGAAAACAGCCTTCAAAATAGCAGAGGCTGTGCATGAGAGAACCCAGGCCCATTAAACAAAGCCGCAGCTGCCTCTGGCCAGGCCCTGAGCTTCATCAGAGTCAATGAGAGAAAATCTCAATGAGGAAGAACTGGAAAGAGCAGGTCAGAAGGAATCATCCTGAGAAAGCCCCTGGAAGATTTCTCCATAACAAATAGCCGCCCACTAGTCGCATCTAGTGGATTGTGGTATGGTATACAAAAGAAACTGTGCTAGGAACGTTAAAGGCAGCGAGCACGGGAGTAAAACCAGGGAACATCTTCACTCTCCTCACTGCTTTCAGCTTACTGACTCTCTGTGCGTGCTTGTCAGGGGCAATTATCTATTCAGGAGTCCCCTTCCTGGGCGAGCCCAACTCCACAGTGGTGCAGACGGCGCTCTGTTGGTTAGCGGAGCTGGCCTAGGGAATGAAAGGTGGTCTGTAAC